ATGATCTCGGGAATAATCCCGAATTACAGATTTATCCCGACTCACAAAATATACATACAGGGTGGTTCATTTTCGATGTTTTAATGGGCTGTAACAAATACCAGCAAAGATATCAAAAATCTGAAAGCACATTCTTAAGTTTTTTTTTTTTGAGAAAATAACAATGGCGAAGACAAATCATGGCTAACTTGTTGCGTTTAGGGAATACCTACAGGGCAATTTTCAAATTGTGTCCAATTTCAACAGGCCTTCTAATTTCTTTATTAATTGAGATATCTGTCATGTATCATGTCTTGCCAAGTCCGCAACCCTGTGAGAAATAGTGGATGCTATGCCATGCCTATGGGTCTAGGCAAAGTAATAATACTTGGAATGTCAGTAGTCTGTCACGACTTATTTTTTAAAATATAAAACTAGATAATTCTCTGCCTGTTCTTATTTAATCTTGGCTCAACTCAACCAAACATTACATGGCGGCAGCGCGTAAAAGCGTACCTAGTTGTGGAAAAGACGACGGAGGATATTAGATACTGGGGCTGTAAGCTGGAGCTTTACCACGACAGCTATTATGAAATACAAACCCAGGACATGTGTAAAAGTGAACGACCGCTCTAAGTTGTAGAAAAAAGCAGGAGAACAATGTCAGACAGTAGGACACCCATAATGAACTCAACTTCTCAGGAGATTTAACTTCACATTGGAAATTATATGTACCTAAGCAGAAGTTCGAAAACTTTATTTTAGCTAGCGGTAAATCGCAAAAAGGTGATTATGTAAAAATTGCAATCTTACTTAATTTAATTGGAGATCAAGGACTCCAAATTTAAAATACTTTTGAATACTCTGTACTAACAGAGGATAAAACTAAGCTTTTTACGTATGGTTTAAAAAAGTTTGATGCCTTGTAATCCTGTTGAAAACCTTGTTCACGAACACTTCAAGTTCTTTAGAAGGGACCAACAACATACAGATACTGTAGATCAATTTGGCACAGCCTTGAGACAGCTAACTTCAACTTGTGAAATCAAGGAAACTGATGTTTTGATCCGAAATAGGCTTGTTTTGGGTATTAAAGATAGCAGAATCCAAGAAAGACTTTTGCAGGAACCTGATATAAAAGTTTCTGAAGCAATAAAGATTTGTCGGTCAATGGAAGCTTGTGTAGCTACTCAAAAAGTAATTTCTGAAGATCAAGATCAAGTTGTCCACGCTGTGAAATTCAGGAAGTATAAACAAGAGTCAGGAAAATCTGAAGGTCAATATTACAAATCATCAACACCTGGGTATGCTCAGCAGTCTCAAGAAAAAGCTGGTTCATCTAACTTTGGAAAAGATTTTAGGATCAAAACGTGTTCCAAGTGTGGATCAGGGCATGCAAAAAGACATTGTCCAGCATATAACCGTGTCTGCTCGAAATGTCATCGTAAAGGCCATAATCAGAAATTCTGTAGCAGAAAGTATCAAGACGATGTAGTCGATATAGAAAGTGATACTTATGACACAGACTCAGACAGTGAAAAATCTGATTCTCCAGTTAGTGATGTGGGTTGGACTGTAATAAACCATAATGTAAATGCAGTGGAATGGTTTGAAACCTTTAACTATTGAATTGTCTCAAATAAACCTAAAAATTGATACCTACTGGAAGCCAAGTTAACATTTTAAGTTACAAAGACTTCAAGATGTTGAAGATAAAATTTAGTGACATTTTAAAGACTTCATCTGTTTTTACTGTCATATACGGAACACAAGATGGTACTTTGGGCCAAATTAATTTACTCTGTGATTTCGCTAAACAGTCATCAGAACTATCGTTCCATGTATTAAACAGCGGGCAATCAGCTTCTTCTATCCTAGGAATGGAGGGTGCGAATTTTTTGAAAATTGTGAATAACACTTGTGAAATTACCTCCCCGAATGAAGTATTCAAATTAGGAAATCTGAAACAAATTCTTGACAAACATAGCAGTCTTTTCAGTGGAATTGGAAAACTTAACAAAAACTATAAAATAACATTAACAGGCAATTTTGAACCTAAAGTATGTGCTGCACGCAAGATTCCACTATCGCTCAAGGACAAGATAAAACAAAAGCTGCATCAAATGGTAAGTGAAAAACTTATTGTAGGTACCCATTATACTGAACCAACAAGCTGGGTGCACCCAATTGTCATAGTGCCAAAGTCTAATGGTGTTATCAGAATTTGCATGGACCCTAGAGCATTTGAACGTGTACATAAAGCGCGAGAACTTTCATATTCCTCTATTGAATCTCTGTTCGATGAACTTCATAACGCAAAGTATTTTACTTTACTTGATGCTTCTCAAGCTTTTTTACAAATACCATTAGACTATGATAGTTCCAAAATGTGCACGATGGCTACGCCTTGGGGCAGGTACCGTTACGTTCGTTTACCATACGGTATTTGTTCGGCTCCCGAAAATTTTCAACGGTTCCGCTATGAGACTTTGAGGGTGTTGGTGGGGTTATAAATTATATTGATGATATTCTCGTTTTTGGTTCTTCATTGGAAGAACACAATCAAAATTTAGACAATGTTCTAACCAAAATAGCAGTTTAAATTTGAAAAAATCAAAATTTTGTCAAAAAACAGTTAAATTTCTTGGACACATAATAAGTGAAAGTGCAGTTTCTCCGAGTAATAATAGAACTCAGGCAATAAAGAACATGAAACCGCCGGAAAATAAGAAAGACTTGCAACGGTTCTTGGGTATGATTACTTATGTTGCGAAGTTTATCCCTAATCTTTCGCAAGAGACGGGACCATTAAGAAAACTTTTAAGTGCTAAAAATGAATGGCAGTGGTCAGAAAATGAAAATCTATCTTTCGATCGATTAAAAAATCTAGCAAATGGCCGCGTCAGTTCTAGCATTTTTTGATCCTCTGAAATAGACCATATTATCCGTGGACGCAAGCCCTTAGGGCCTAGGCGCTGTAATCATGCAAGATAATCATCCAGTTGAGTTTGCTTCCGTTTCTTTAACTCAAACTCAAGAAAAGTACAAACATATCGAAAAAAAATTGCTTGGCTTAGTTTTTGGCTGTGAAAGGTTCCATTTCTATCTCTACGAAAACAAATTTCGACTTCAAACTGATCACAGACCCCTTATAGGCTTACTCAAAAAATCAATTGATGATCTTACTCCTCGACTTCAGAGATTGGCAATCAGATTGTTAAGATACCAATTTACCCTTGAATACGCATCAGGAAAGAAAATGCAAGTAGCGGATGCACTTAGTAGAGATCCGGCAAGTGACCTCATAAATACTGATTATTTAGAAAAACACTAAAAAATACACACCGTCCTTGCAACATCTAAATAAAATGAACAGAAACTTTTAAAGGCTATTTCTGAAGATTCCATTATGCAGCAAATTAAAAATTTCACGATTTTGGGATGGCCAGCGCATAAAATCCCCTTGAAACCTCCAGAATTAAAGGCATATTGGTCCATACGTAATGAAATTTATCTACATAAAAATATTTTGTTCCACAAAAGACGAATTTTAATTTCTTATGTCCTTAGACCTGAAATATTAGAATTTTTACATCGTACTCACCAAGGAGTAGTTTCTTGCAAATAAACTTGCTCAAGAAACAATTTACTGGCCAGGAATCATTGAAACCATAGAAGATATAGTTCTGAGTTGCCAGATTTGTCAAGAGTATTCTCGCAGTACCTAATCAAAAAGAGCTCTTGATCCCACATAAAGTTCCAAAATTAGCATGGGAAAAAAGTGGGTATTGATTTTAAATCTCACAAGGGTATTGATTTTCTTGTAATCTGTGACTACTTTAGTATATTCATTATGGTCAACAAAATTCCAAACAAGACAGCTGCAACAACCATTTCTTCATTGAAAAATGTATTTACAATAAATGGCTCGACTCTGGAAATATTCTCCGACAACGGATGACCTTTCAACTCTATAGAAAATAGCAATGGAATGGTTGAACGATCAATCCAAACAGTAAAGGGTCTTCTAGTAAAAGCGTTAAACTATAAGCAGGGGTCCTGCTTACAGTTCTTAGCTGTTTTGGATTATAAGCAAGACTTCCCTGCTCCGTGTGAGCTCCTAATGGACAGAAAATTGAGTACCACGTTTCTAGTTACACGAAGTCTCCCTAAACCCAAATTTCCGACAAAAGGCATTAGGGAAAAATTGGAGTACCGGCAAATACAACAAAAATTGCACCATGACCAACATGCGAAAAAACTGCCTGATTTACATCTAAATGAAAAAGTCTTGATTCAACGTGGTATTCGTTACTGAAAACCAGCTGTAATAATTTCTAAAGTAGACCATAATGACTACCATGTTTGTTCGAGCTGAGCAAGGTGCTGAATATAGAAGAAACCGCATTCACCTTAGGCCCTCAAGACAAAGGGAAGAAAGACAACTGGAAGATAGTTACAATAACTCTATGATCCGGTAGTTCCTGAGAGTGATGTCAAAGTAAAGCATTCTAGACAGCCTTCATTAGAGACATCACCAAAAGTTGATTTTCCTGTATACCCTATAGAAAATGATATTCCCTTGGATATTTCTAAAACAAGAAGTGGTCGGTTAATTAAGTGCCCTGGAAAACTGAACTTGTGAAATATGTGCTTATGTGATCAAATGTTATCAATATTTGTAGTTGAATTTCTGCTCTTCTATTTTGCTTATGTTACCATTTTTTGCTATGTTAATGATCTTAGGTTTAGCTTTTTCCTTTTCCCCTTTTTTCTTTATTAAGGGGTGTGTCATGTATCATGTGTTGCCAAGTCCACTTTCTCGAGGCAGTTTTTCGAGTAGAATCCAGACGCATGACCAATTTTTTTCCTGGTTAGGCATGATTTTGTTTTATTATAACATACATACATAGTATATTGCGAAGTATTTAATAATTGAGATTCTGTAGAAAAAAAAGCGTTCACTTTGCTGGTGTGGGCATGATTATCCTGACATGATTTTGTTTTTTCAATAACACACCTATACATTGTGAAATATTTATTATTCATGACTTTATTGAAATATATCTATTTTTTATTAAGTAGGTTGGTACACCTAATATACACAAAGATACAAAAAAAAATGCCTATTACACAATATACAAGTTATCTATAAAATACAAGTGAAAGCCTTACAAAGATAGCAGCACAGTATTCTGATTCCCCAATCATTCATATCAAGATGGTAAATGCAATAGTAGATCAATCTTTAGCCTGAATGTAATCCCTCAGCCCATCTTTGACATGCCCTTTAAAACACCTACCCATAAAAGATCCTTATAAAAGCAAAATTGAGATGTTCTGAGTGCATTTCTAGAAAGTTTACAACTTTTGTGTGCCAAACATGTATAGAAATAAAACCACTATTAATTATTTTAATATGAATCAAATTTATTTGTTCTATTGAAACAAACCAAAATCTAAGGTCAATATGTATATACAGTTGCATTACATATGTATATTAAAAACTTATTAAACTAAAAAATAATAAATGCTTGGGGCTTAAGTCACCAAATTGATGGTCTTTGAAAACTGAATAATTCATTCGAGAAATGCAGGCGAGGTGGAAGTGGCAAAGTTCACGAATTTTTTTTTAACTGAAGCAAAGTGCATAGAACTTGTGTGTAAACTAGTCATTTGCTTCATACAGTAAGGGGTGAAAAAAAATGATTAAGGGTTTACAACCGCGAGAACAGACATGTAACTGAAAAACTCGTTTCAAATAAGAGTTATAGAGAAGTTATTCCTGGTCAAAAACATTTGATCATTTTTTTCCACATACACTAAGATTTGCCCCTTAATAGTGGTAAAACCAGAAGAGCACCACCGTCACTTTGCGACTTTCATGAAAACCAAAAAAAATTTTAACGTTAAATAACAATACAAAAAAAAGATCGATAAATAGATTAAAAAAAAAAAAAACTTATAAAGCTATTTCTAGAATCATCATTTTACACATTGATGTTATTGTTTTACATGATAATAGAATAGAGAATATAACAAGTAATAATTACCAAAATTTCTATAAGATTAATAATAGTTTAAAGACATGATGCTGGACTTGGACTGGGTACGTTTAATTTCGCTAAATATAGTGAGAGACAACAAAATTATACCAAAAGGCTTTAAGTTAAGATCACTGATTCAAACACAAAATAATCCAAGATGCAAATCTGAAATCTAATGTAATGTTGATGATACTTTCATCATATGGAATCATGAAAAAAATCATCTGAATCACAATTATGGAATTAGATTCACGACCGTCTCCAGGAAGCCCACCCACACAGGACAATATCTAAATTTCAACCCAAAACCTCTATGTCAAGTCCAAAATCATATCTTTAAATAATTTCATGTTACCTACCACGTTCAAACAAACATTAATAATAGTGTTGCGTAGGTATGAAAAGCTCAGCTCATTCATTCTTCCTTACATGGTATGCTTTAGTTCAATTTAACCTAAAGCTAAAGACAAATAATTAGTTTTATTCAAAATGAATGCTCATTTATGCTTACCGGGTATACCTGCTATTGCTTCACTGGCTGAATATTTGACGTCTACATCAGTATCTTGGTTCAGTTTATCTAATACTGGCTTCACCTAAAAAAAAAACAATGTTGATAAAAATGAGGAGCCTTAAGTCTAAATATTAACAAAAAGGGCTGTAGTAACAAAATGATAATAAACACTCCACAAAACTATTACTGCTTTACAAAGGTTGCAAAAGCGTTCAGCATTTATGTATAGAGTTTTCAATTGTGATTACTATTTTCGTTGGGCATCTGCCAATTCATTAGACTATGTGCAAAATAAGTTATCAAGAATAACTCACTGTTTTCAATTTTTGCACTTCACTTTGCAACAACTAGCCCTTACATTTTTATGCAAATACCAAAATTAGAGATTTAGATAAGATATTTTGATAATCGGCAAATTAAAATAACTGAGATCAGTAATTTTGGACTCTCCAATCAATCCATAATCTTAGTTTTTGTCCCAAAATATAACTTGAATAACAAAGATAAAAAATGAGTTTCCTTGTTGCTTAGTCAAAAAATGCGCTACATAAAAATACAGTTTGTCACATTTACCTGTGGTTGTATGACCGCTTGATCCAGATGTGGTGAAATTTTCTGGAGAGTTTTTGCCACATTGAATCTCACATTTGCAACTTTATCGTTTGCCATACTTATCACAGTGGGCAGTAGTAGTCGGGTTGTAATATCACTGCCGCACGCGTCTGCAAGAACGTTGATGCAAAATAGACAAGTCATCCTATTTAGGAAAAAAAAAACAGGTTATTTATTTCTTAAACAATCAATGATGGTTAAGCTTATGCAGCCCTTTCTTCAAAACTGTTTCAAATTCTTATATCTATTGGAAAAAACATAATTCTACCAATAATGTGTCAAGTATAGGATGTAAATAGAAAGTTAGACATAAATTGATTACTTGATTTTCTAAAATTGCTAGTTTTAAGTTCCGGTTTTTGAAGATTTAATCAAAAAATATTAAAAGTTGATAATAATGTCTAAATACATACCTGTATAAGTAGTTTTGATCACGTGCCATAGCTAGAACTTTGGGTATGATAGTAGATTCGGCCCATTCTGCACCAAACTGAATGACTAATTTTCTCAAATTCAATGTGGCGGCTTCACGGATAGCAAATACATGATCCATAAGCCAGGTCATGCAGAGAGCATTCAATTTTTCATCAAAGAATTCCCTTCCAAGTTGGCCAGCCAACAATGGCATATATTCAATAATGGCAGAACGAACTCTCCACTTTGAGTCTTCTGCAAGTTCAACAATGGCTGGTAGGAGGGATTGTGACAGTTGCTGAATTCCAATGACTTCATTGACACAGTCCAGATTAGAAATAATATTTAATCTCACTTCAGGACATTCATCTTTTAATTGTGTCAAGAACATTGGCAAAAGATGTTCAATGGTATTGTGACGGCCCAAAATTGGGCTAAGCCCCATAATAACTGATGCCAAAGCAGATTTAACATGTTGGTTTGGATCAGCCACCAACTCCTTTACGCAAGGTAAAATATGTGCCATGATCATGTTTTCTTGATTGGCCTTGTCCAAATTCTGGCAAAAATCTTTGACTTTGTTTGCAGCAGCAGCTCTTACTTCGGCCTCAGTATCTTTTAATAGGCTTTGGAAAGCAGTAACCAAGTCTGTTCTGGTAATTTCTGGTCCTACAGCCTTCTGGAGTTCTGTGAATTTGTCTGCTACCATGTAACGCACTCTCCAGGAAGTATCTCCAACGCATTGTCTCAAAGTGGGCATCACTAATTGTTCAACATCTTCCGGAGCTAGCAAAGTTGCAATACTGATGCATGCTTCTACAGCCAACAAACGTACGGAATCCTGCAGCAAGAACACATGTTATAGATTACAACAGAGTACCTAATGTATATTGAAAAATAGTTGTTTGTGCAAGTAGAGTAAATAGGTTCAACAAGACGCTGTGGTAAAGTGTTTAAGTATCTGAGTAAAATATAGACAAGTCACTCGAGTTTTACAGTTTATTTTTCCAATATAAGTACCTCGGAGGTTACGACATTTTCAGATATATTTTATATTTTATTTGCGAGTGTCCCTGCAGTTTTTATAACAAAAATTATACTTACTTTTGAAATTCCACTATTTTTAGCGAATACTTAATGAAAATTTAAAATGACAAAACGATGACAAATAGTTCACTGGTGTGCTTTGAGAAAATCTAATTCGTGGATTTCAAATTCTAACTAGAGTGGATATTTATCCGTTTATAGATTGTAAGCAAAAAAAAAATGTATGTGTGGGGTAGAAAAAATATAAATACAAATTCATATTTACCTGTTCATCCTGAGCTAAATTAATGAACATTGGGATTAAATCTGATTTCAAATATTCCAACTCGACGACCTGAGCGAGTTCTCCCAATTTTGTAGCGGCGGCCCTGCGTACCATTGGAGTATCATCTTGGCACAGTGCCTTGAAATGGGATCTTAAATCGGCCTTGGAGTTGGCAGAGACTCTTTGATAACAGACCTGAAAACATGAATAAATAAAACAATTTTATTCATTATAATAATCATGAAATTTCCTACCGAAAACAGTCCACATCCTGAAGTTCTTGAGGTGAACCAGTCACCAGCACTCAACCTTTGTACTAATGGAACAAAGTGATTTTCCAAATCAGCAGGAATATGTTGTACTGCAACAGCCCTAAGGGATTCCACGGCTTTATCACGGACCACAGTTTCTTCCACTGTAGCCAAGCTTTCAAGAGGTGGCAACAAACAGTATGCATATTCAGGTCCACCAACAAGGGCTGTGAACTGGCCCAACTGTTCTGCAAGAGCTAAGAGGACCTCATCTTCGTCATATATTGTTTCAGTCAGGAATGGAATCAGCTCGGTTCTTGTTCTCTCTACGCCCAAAGCTAAAGCTATGGTAGATAGCTTTTTGATGGAATTTAAACGTAGCTAGAAACAGAAATAACAGTTAGTTGCAAATAATAATAAACAATAATGATAAGGGATGCGCGAAGCCATCAATTTCAAATTCAAATTCAAATAAGCTTTATTGTCCTAATTTTTTCAAAAGATCATTGACAAAGCAAAACTTATTTCTAAACAATTTTTTTCATACCTATTACTACCCAATCTATGTCAACACTAAATAATTTTGTCTATAAAAATACAAATATAAAATTTGAAACACAGAAAAACAGTATAAAATTTAAGAGCATGTAAAATCAACATTAAAATAAAATCAAAAACATTCACAGAAAGATTTTAATTATTTTAATCTTGGTAATCTATGGCCCTGGAATTATTTTTGTATACTTTTTTTTTTTGTTCTTAGACAATAAAGCATTTTTTGACTTTGACTTTGACTGACTTTGATTATCCGACAAACAAACGAAGTTTTAAAGTTTATAAACATGATGTACACTTCAAAAAATTGAACAATTAACAAATAAACAATTAAATACAGATAAACAATCTAAATTGTCCAAACTATCCGGATTACACAAGTCCAGGCTACACAAGACCATCAACAAACCGCGCTTTGGCTTCACCTATTATAAAACTCTCCCAAACTATAAAAAGTTCCACCAATTAAAAATTCTTTGTTCGAAACCTTTTATATACATTTATACTTTTAATGTCATCCGGTAAACTATTAAATATCTTTATTCCTTCATAAATTACAGATTGTTTTGTCAGAGTAGATTTAGAAATTGATGGAACCGTCAAAATTTTTTCCCGTAGAAAGAGTGGTCTACAGGTTTGCTGACAACTAACTCCGCACAAAGTTCTAAGGGCTCTTTTTTGTAAAATAAACACTGATTGAACAGAGGCTTGGGTTGAGAATCCCCAGAAGGGTATTCCATATCTGATATGAGATTCCATCAATTCAACATTAGTAGTAAGTTGCTTTGGTCAACTTGGGTTGGGTCTGAGGTAATGTTCTCACAGGTTTTTTTTTTTTGGTTTTCAATAAATTTTGGCAAAAAGGGCACATATAATATTAATTATATTATTGGTGAACTGTCTGATTGCTGATTGCTAGGCTTCTATTTGCATACGTTCAATAAATATATTATAATTTTCTAGCATAGTCATGGTCAGTGTTGAGTTATTTTCAAAAGCAAAAAAGAGAGGTTAACCATGCCTGTCTCGAACTGTACAAAGTGTAACCTGACGGTTAAAATGGAGGAAAAGCAGATCTTTTGAGATTGCAGCAGAGTTGTTTTTCACCTAACGGAAGGGTGCAAGGAGCCTCAGAAGTTAGAGCTCTAGTGCTTCAGAAGAGGACACTTATGTTCCTCTGTCCGGAGTGTAGAGATACATTTGAGTCAGCGCCAATGGTTATAAAGAGCTTAAAGAGCTGCAAAATGGGGTGGATACTCTCAAAATTGAAATACAGAATCTGAAATCTAAGCCAGCATCTAATATTGAATTTTGTAGAAGCACGTGAGCGCACAATGAGAGCGAATAATTTAATGGTATTTGGTGCCCCAGAATCTGCTAGAACATTCTTCAAAGCAGAATTGACCATGACATGAAACTAGCAAAAGAAGTCTTCACTGTACTTGGCTTCCAGATCCGTGTGGGTTAGAAAAAGGCAGATGGGAAGCCTAGACCTTTAGAGATTATATGCAATAAAACTAATATCATTAAAAAGGCCATCCGATCTAAAGAGAAACTGGAGTCCTGTGCTTAAAAAACAGCATATGATTGTACAAAAATGCAACAAGCTGCCTACAAAGAAGCTCAAGAACTTTTACAAAGAAAGGCTGGAGGAGGGGAAGACAGAGGTAGTCGCTAAAAAGGCAAACGATCAGGAAAACTAACTACCTCCCCATTAATGGTACTTATACTATCAAAATGTCAGTGGCCTTTGTACAAAGTATGAGCATCTGAAATTAGCAGTGAGTAATTCCTCATATGATATTATGGTACGAGTCGTAAGCAATTTATATGATAACTTCATGGACAGTGAGCTAGAGTGCTGTGATTTCAATTTATTCCGCTTGGATCGGTCTCATCTTACTAGACAAAAATCTAGCGGCGGTAGTATACTTATATAGAGTCGGGAGCATTGAAAGTGGGACGCCGATTTTTCCTATTGTGAAATGAGCTCACCAGCTATACCTACGGCAATGAGAGGGATTGTCATATTTGACAAAAAATCCATTGTAGAGTGGAGCATGTGCTGGTAACTTATAAATCTCCAAAAAATTATATTTTTGGTGACTACAATCTACCTGAGGCGCATTGGTCAAATGATGAGTTTGGAGTGAGAGGTGACTGTCCAGCTGCAGTCTTTTGGTTTCTTGCAATGATTTCTGTGGATTAATATTCCTAATCATAGAAATGTATTCCTGGATTTGATGTTTTTTAATGATAGCAACGTTGTAGTAGGTTTAGCTTGGGATGGTATTTTTGAAAATAGTTTTCATCATGTTAGCTACAAATGCTGTTCAAATATAAGAAAAACTCAGGGATCCAAAAGCCTTCAGTTTCATGATTTCTACTATGATTTCTGTAATGCTGATTTTTTGGGATTAAACAATTTTCTAGCTGGTATAAACTGGGAGCAATGCCTCTCACAGAATGACAATAATTTGGCTTTGGATTCTTCACATGAAATTCTCGAGATGGGTGTGACTCTCTTTGTACTTACCTTTAAAAAAAATATCACACAACGCACATTTCCAAAATGGTTTTCACAGTAGCTTCGAAATCTTACTTTCAGATAAAAATTGCATATACAGCTTATAATAATTCAAAATCTGTTCTTGATTATGAGAGCTTTTCAGGGTTGCGTTCGAAGTGTAAGAGGGTTCGAGAAATATGTTGGACTGAATACCTTAATAATGTTAATAGTGAATTTGAAGCTAATCCAAAATATTTCTGGACATATATAAGGAACTTAAAAACTTCGCACACCCTTCCTCAATCAATGTTTTATAATGGAAACACACCTTTGTGGTACCTATATACAGGAGTGGTGGAATAAACAATGTCACCAACTATAGAAGTGTGTTTTCAGCCATCCATAGCAAAGCTATTGAAAGTTTAATAGGAGATCAGCTCAGATGCATAGTCAGGGTCTGATAAACGGGAATCAGCATGATTTTTAATCTGGTCGGTTTACTACAACTAACTTGCTTGTTTATCAAAATAAAATAATTTTGCTTTAGAAAATTTCAATCAGGTGGATGCAATGTATAAAGATTTTTCTAAAGCTTTTGATCAGGTAGACACCAGGGCTGGGACTCTGTAACAAATAGAGATATTTTCTCTATCTCTATTGACGTCCCCTATCTATTGATTTCGAGAACAGAGAAGAAGACAGCAAGTGCCATAGCGATAGGGATAATGATCTCTATCCGTTACAGAGTTCCAGCACAGGCACTTTTCAGGAAGCTTTTTAATATGGGTTTTGGTATTAAATCAGTTAAGTGGGCCAGTACTTTTCTGTCTGGTCACCTGCAGATGGTCAAGATTGGTTCTTTTCAATCAGAAATATAAGCGTCACTTCAGAAGTTTCCAAGGGGAGCCCCTTTGCTTTTTGATTTATTTGTTAACAGTATATTTGAGTGTTTTGTGAACAGTGACGGGCTGGCATTTGCAGATGATTTTAAAGCATATAGAATCATAAATTGCATAGATAATCAAAGGCTTTTGCAGGATGATCTTGACAGGCTGACTAGCTGGTGCACAGATAACAAGCCCTATCTGAATATCAATAAATGCTGTTTTATTGGTTTTTTTAAAGCCAAGAAAAAGTTTGACACTTCCGATACATCAAATGGCGAAACTCCGACTTATGTTTCAAAGGTTAAAGATTTGGGGGTATTATTTGATGAAAGTTTGAGTTTTGTGGAACACATTCACAATGTCACAGTAAGCTCTTCTAAACTGTTGGGTTTTGTCCTAAGACACTGCATTAACTTTTCAGTGGAAACTACTAGGAGTGGTTATTGTTCTTGAGTGCGTTCGAAGCTGGAATATGCTTCAGTAGTGTGGTCACCATATCATGCAGTTCACAAAGCAACTATTGAACAAATTCAGCACAACTTCTCAAGACATTGGGCGGTATGATTAAAGAGTATTTGCTTTTACTTCAAGTAAATGCTCCATTTTGTAGTTTGAGCTTCAAAAAATTATAGCATTTACTCCACATAATTCTTAAATTTAGTACTAGAAGCAACTTTGCTCTATTTACTTCAATATATAGAAGTTTATACTGCAGAAGTTCTAATGATTTCTAGTATTTCCTCCATTTGGGAGTATCCAGTGTAGTTTTTAAGAAGCTACTCAAGAGTAACTTCACATCAATTGCTTTGATTGAAAAGGCGTTATAAATGGCTTTTTTTAATAATTGTAATGGTAGAAGGAAGGAAATAATATGTGATGGAGATATTTTTAAGGACTCTAAAGGTCAGTATTTTAATGTCCAGTTGACCGAAGGTTGAATCCTCGGTGTAAACTCAACCATCGGTCAACCGGACATTATAATACCAGCCCTAATTGTGACTTTTCTAGGAACTCAATTATAACAAGTAACTTGAATATAGATTGGATGAAGAAAAAAAACGGGATTATACAAGCGAATTACAGAATATTGTTGAAAAACATGGTATGAATTAAATACTTAATGAACGTGTGTATAAAAAAAACCTCTGAAAGTGAGTCAATTTTGGTTATAACAAATAACATGAAGGTTAGGGCAAACATTTTTGAAAGGCATAAAATCACTGCTCACGAAACTGTTGCTGTGAGCCTTTTTTCACAAAATAATTCAATACCTAGTTTTTGATACTCAGGATATTAGTAGGTTAGATGTGGATAAATCTACAGAATACCTTATATAGGTTGCATCAATTGTCCTATCAATTTTTTTCTGTAATGTAAATAGTAGTCTCTTCTACACGCAAAAGTTTTAGTGTACATTGATTTAGCCCTAGGAATGCTGATTAAAAAAAAAACACTTGAGTCCTGTAAATCAAAAAACATATGATACTATCACTGAATTGAAAATAGGCAATAAAAGCACTTCAGAGCCCTTAGAAATAGGATTTGGTCAATAATTATCACAAACCGTGATACTGTAACTTGTTCCTTCTGTATTTCTGGACAAAATTATTTGTCATAGGTACTTGAAAAGGTTAATGTTTGAACAGAAAAAGAACGCGAACTCCAATGGAATTGATTTTTCATTTCTCAAATCTGTGTCTTTAATACAAACTACATAATTATTTTGATAATTATCGAAGTTATATGGTTTGAGATCAAGCAATAAATTTTCAACTTCACACTTAAATTGGTGTTGACTGTTTATATTCTTCAAGTTCAAGGGAAGCTTATTAAATTGTTTTACGCACATATTATAATGAGGTTGTCTTTCGGTTATATAAAGGATGATGGTGGGACTGTTGGGATTGTGTACTTGGACTTACAAAGGAGGGTTTGAACAGTGTATAGAAAAAGAGTCTTGTTGAAGTTGACAAAATTTGGAATTGACGGAATAGTTTAATCATTTTTCAAATCTTATCTATCTGATAGATACTTGGACAGATATCAAACACCAATATAATAGTACCTGATTTATTCATATTAGGTTGCTACTGCTAGATAGTTGCAAAGCACCATCATCATATTGTTCAATATAATGGTTATTTATTTTCCTAAAACAAGAATACTCATATAATTTCTTCTTGGGATTAATAAAGCTCTTTTACACTAAGAAAAATAGTGAAGTATAATAATGTTTGCTCTGAAAAATGTAAAGCCATTTATGGCGTCACTCAAAGAAGTATTAGAAGTATAATACTGATATAACATCAAACCTGGATCTTTGTAATACTTACTAGCCAGTTTGCAGATGATACTGTAATATTATTTAGTTCTAAATTTCCTCAAATGCCTTCAAACATTCTTAACAGTGAACTAAAATTAGTTTATATTTGGTTGTGTCTCAATAAATTAAAGCTTGACCTGACTAAGTACTGGTTTATCACTGGGCGGTTATTTAATTTAGCTGTCGGTCAACTATCAACCACTGATAAATCTCTTTAAGCACTTCCGTTCTGAAGATACACTAAGGCTTGCTTTTAAAGTATCGCAGGTGGTAATTTCGAAAGCGGCTGAGTGGTTTTTGCTAGTACTTCTCAGGCATTCTGACGATTTTTAAATGGAAATATGTGTGTACTTATTATGTATAGTATATATTTTACAAGCTCAAATAATCATGGTCTCTGGGTTTTAAGATTGGCGCGGGTAATCCAAAGCTTGGATAATCGAGTTTCTAATGTATACAAGAGTGCTACTTGTTTAATAAAGGTGACCCGTAACTGGAGATCGAGTATCAAAAATGGTTCAGCCGGCAGGACTTGACAGAACCAATATTGCATCCGTTCTTGATAAAATTACTGCACAATGCACATGAGTCATTTGATAATGAAAACAATGAGTCAGTTCCTAGGAGTATTAGATACTTGGACGAACATAAGTAGGAGAAATTTAATTTTCAAGAGAGTTAATGGAAATTTCATGCTGAAAATAATCTAAAAATACAAATTCACCTGAACATCCTCATTTTTGAGTTCATCTATGAGTACGGCAATAGGATACAGGGAATCATCACTTGCATCACTGGCTGCCATTGTAGACCCAAGTCCAGTGGAAATCGCCGATATCGTCGTTGTTACTTGATTTTATTGAACGCCTCAAAGACCTAACGAAACATCCAACTGTGTTATTGATGTTTTCGCAGGATAAATACAGAAAAAGCCTCGAAATTACTCACAAAAAGGGATCGGAAGTCTCTGGAAACTTCAATCTGCAATACGTGCCTGCTTGCTTGCTCCTTTCCACAGTTGACAATTGACACTCTACTCGTCGTCTGCGCTTCACCCCTTTTTGTTTATTGACAAATAACGATGACAGTTGACTCCTGAAGGGTGAAAAGGGAGTATGTTCGAAAACACCAGAGGCCGGATTCTATTTTACGAGTCGAGTCGAAATTCGTATCGAATTGCCAAAATAGCGATTTTATTTTTCGATTTTTCCATACGTACACGACACGGTACGTCCGGAGCTGTCGTATTCGATATCGAGACATTTCGACTCGACTCGTAAAATAGAATCCGGGGGCAGGTGATACCCAAAATACAGATAATATGTACACCGATTGAATTTTCTTGCCCTTTGAAAACACACAGGATATCCAATCATGCGGTCTCATTACATTGCTCAGGGGCGAGTTCAGGAATGACACACCCAGTGTAAGTATGACCGGTGCGACGCTGTAGCTGTTCAAAAATGCTAGACTCTAGACGGTGCTATGGGCCCAATGGCCAATTGTCAATTCAGGCCTTGCACTCTGTGCGTTATTTCTGAACCCGGCCCAGCTCAGTACCCAAACAGGTTGACGGTTGAAACTACCACAACGGCTTCATGTCATAATTTGTCATCATTGGTCTGTTTGGTATCCTCCACTAGTGCACGCCAATTTACACTTTCCTGCACTGAGCTGTTTGTTATGCGGTTGGTGAAAATAGTGTAGGGCCACGAACACTTATGCCGGGTTTAGTGAACGCATGAGCATAATTTATTGATTAGGAATAATTTTAGCGCATAAGTCATAAAAGTTAAATATTCGAATTCTAATAACAGTGTTCACTGAAAACATAGGTGTTAATGATAGCATAAACTAAACACGAATAACCACAAAGTTCCTAACTTTTAACTTTTATGCATTAGAGCCGTTTTACACGGCAAAGTTTCCTTACGAAATTATTCACGAAATTATTGCCGAAATATTTCGTAAGTTTAGTATTCTTGTTTCGCTTTTTACCTGTCTGACACGGCAAATAAAGTTTAGCAAAAGTTTCGTGAAAATATTAGTCATACGCAGGAATCATAACCTCATACATTCGTAAATCTAAACAAATAAAACTTTCGTTTTGTAATTAAGGAATCCAAACCACGTGACTTTTGCCAACCAGCCGGCATTTTGAAATTTTTATGAGGTTAAAATACGGGTTGTTACATATCAACGATGTCAGAAAAGTGTCAGATTTGAAAACTCGCCCCGTGTATTGATAAAGCCTAGTACACATAACAGCGAAATTCGCTGTTTTTTAACATTGCTTCGACAATTTGACGTTTTATGCGTGAATCAAACGTCAACAAAGAGCGAATTTCCCTGTTATGGGTACTAGGCTTAATCCCGTCAAAAGAAAAACATATGTTTTTTGTTTATTGTTTGCCAACCAGACGCCATTAGGACAGGTCGTTGGATTGCCTAATTGTTAGTTCCTTCCATATATAAAGTTTTATTTACCGGCTTGCTTCCTCTCCCTCCCAACCTAAGGTCTGTTTATTTTCTGTTATTTTAGTGTAGGATAGGTTAGTGCAGAATGCTGATGCAGTTAGGTGTAGCTGATAACGACCGGAGTAAAGGAAAACTACCAAACTTAACCAAACGCGTTAGTGCAGTTCGTGTAGCGATAGGAGCGGATAATTCTCTAACCTCAAAAAATGATTATTTAAATAAATTAGGCAATCCAAACCCAATGAACTATAGCTAAAAACTGGAATGCGCACACATTGCCATATATGCCAAAAAAATGAAGCCATGAAAGACAGATGCCACAAGGGGGAATGTTGTTTTTTTCTGTTGCTCGCTGACATATGACGTTTTCGAAAGTTTTGTCATATTTCCCTTCACAGGTTTCATCAATTGGAATACGTGTTGGAAGCAATTTTCGCCATTTAACATAATGAGTGCGACAAAAACAGGTATCCCCTCCGCAGCAGCCGCACTAGGCTTCACGTTCGTCCTTATGTGTTAGCATTCCAGTTTTTGGCTATAGTTCATTGTCCAAACCACGTGACACTCAAGATGGCGTGGCGCCCACAGATGGGCCAAAAAACACAAAAAAATAACTAGTTTCTGCCCGATTTAATAGTTTAGATACCTAGTCAACAAATATTTTATTAAAATAATCAAAATTAAAGTTGCAAGCAAAACTCTAGCAAAATAATTTAAAATACGCATAAAAACTTATTCAAAACCAGCTTGCCTGGCCGCCACGCCATATTGAATTTTCCTTTTTGACAGATGTGACTTTCAACCAGCGGGCATTTTAAAATTTTTATGAGGTTAGAATACGGGTTTTTACATGTCAACGATGTCAGAAAAGTGTCAGATTTGTGAACTCGTCTCGTGTATTGATAAAGCCAGGTACTCATAAAAGCGAAATTCATTCTTTTTTGACATTGCTTCGACAATTTTGACGTTTGATTCACGCATAAAACATCAAATTGTCGAAGCAATGTCAAAAAAGTGAGAATTTCGCTGTTATGAGTACTAGGCTTAATCCTGCCAAAAAAAAAACATATGTTTTTTGTTTATTGTTTGCCAACCAGACGCCATTTGGACAGGTCGTTGGATTGCCTAATTAAAGTTGAAACCAACCAAGAAAAAATGTGCAATATTATTGAGAAAAATAAAATTCACAAGGTTTTATTGTCGGAAATTATAGAGAAGATGAAGATTCCCTATCTTCCAGCTTGAAAACACATTTATTGAAGTAGTTTTCAATACGCAGAAGCGCAATAAACGAAACTGCATAGGAAAAAATTTTGAGACTGTGGTGCCTTCTTATACAGATATCGAATTCAAGAGGCATTTTCCTATTAATTACTATTAATCGAGGTTTATAAATATAGTAACAGCCAAACAAAACAACAGTATTGACCCCTCCCCATTCTGCACTTGTTACAACTCCTCTTGAGCCTTGCTCTTGCTTGAGCAGGTGTGAGTAGTGCAAGATTGGACACCCTACACTGAAATAACAAATGTCTTATTTACACTAACCGCATAACAAAAGCCTTAGTGCAGAAAAGTGTAAATTATTGTGCACTAGTGGAGGATAACAAACAGACCTTTAATGTTTTTGGGCGCAACAATTTGCCGCTTTCCAGCTGTGTGCTTCAAGCACGGTGCAGCACAGAGTGTTCTGTGTTTGAAAGGCAAAATTTAGCAGCTCTCGAAGCGCAGTACGGCTGGAACACGAACACGCGCTTGAAGCATTTGCGCGCGCAAAAGCTCGATTGCGTGCTCAAAAGCGTCAGCTGGAAAGCGGCTTTCTTCACCAGTTGACCCACCGATAAGCAGTCTATCTTTATCTATTACATAGGAAATTCAATGACGGATTCATGAGGCTCGATGGAAAAGAGAGCCCCGTTTATTTTGTAATTTTGTGCACCGAAACTCACGCATTTTGTCGACCGCGCCCACAAAAACTATAGAACATTTTCTAAAGTTTATTGGCGAAATATTTCGTAAGTTTTTCTTGTCGTGTAAAGCCTAGTACTCATAACTGCGAAGTTCGCATTTTTTTGACATTGCTTCGACAACTTGACGTTTGATACACGCATAAAACGTCAAATTGTCAACGCAATTTCAAAAAAATGCGAAATTTGCCAGTTATGAGTACTAGGCTTAAAACAGGAAAAGTTGACTGAACGAAATATTTCGGCAACAATTTCGTGAGTAATTTCGTAAAGAAACTTTACCGTGTAAAACGGCTCTTATGCTTATGACAACCTTACCGTGTAAAACGGCTCTTATGCTTATGACAAGATTGAATTACAGTGGCTAAATAAACCTTTACATACAGTGGCGACAATAGAGGTCCCGCCGCCATCTTGTTCCCAACCTCTTGTTACTTTTAAATATTAATATATAGGATTTGAATGGACATCTATCATAAAAAATTGAAATCGACGTATTTGATAACCATTATTAGGTCCATCAAATACGTTGTTTTCCATGATTTATGATGGATGTTCACCTAAATCCCATATATTCATATTTAAAAGTAACGAGAGGTTGGGAACAAGATGGCGGCGTTTTCAATATAAATATATGGGATTTTAGAACCAATCAAAAATTAGACAGTAATTGTCGCCACTGTGGTAATAGAGTCACTGTAGATTGAATGTGCGCATGCTCATAGCTAAAATTTAAATTTTCCGCCTTTTATTAGGGAAAGAAAAAGGAGTCATTTCAGAATTAGTACAACTTTCATGATTTCACACATGATTCATTACAAAACAAACAAAAAAATTAAAAAATCGCATCCGCGCAAAAATATTTAAAAAATTGTTGGGTTATGTCTGACAATAGTTGACAGTTGATATGTAAGCCGCTTTCCAGCTGTGTGCTTCAAGCACGGTGCAGCACAATGTTCTGTGTTTGAAACGCAAAAGTTAGCAGCTCTCAAAGCGCAGTACGGCTGGAACACGAACACGCGCTTGAAGCATTTGCGCGCGCAAAAACTCGATTGCGTGCTCAAAAGCGTCACCTGGAAAGCGGCTGTATTAAGCCTAGTACTCATAACTGCGAATTTCGCATTTTTTTGACATTGATTCGACAATTTGACGTTTGATACACGCATTAAACGTCAAATTGCCAACGCAATGTCAAAAAATGCGAATTGCGCAGTTATGAGTACTAGGCTTTAAGCCTAATACTCATAAACTCTTTTCACGTGGCTCCGGTTTAACTAACCGGGTTACAAAACGGTTAGAGAACTGACATACCGTTTTCTAACCCGGTTACAAAGTAACGTGATGGATACCTACCACTCGAATTTGAGCGGTATGTTGCGGTTTGTTAAACCGGAGCCACGTGAAAAGGGTAAGGGGGTTGCCAGATACTTGAGTTTTGAAAATAGGAGAGGCTGTATAAAATTATATGAGATTGGATAATAATATATGAGAATATTTTATGTAGGTTCTACAAAATACCCAAATCCGAAAAAGCTCCCATCCTGACAATTAGCTATGCTTTTTAGCAGATTTTGGAATATATTGCTGGACATTTGTTCAGGTAGTTAAATCA